ACGAGAAATAAACGTAAAAGTTTTGTATTTTCTGTATCATGATTTTTGATATATATTCCACTAATCTTTCTCTTTCATATAATGATTATAAATCACTTGTAATTATTAAGAAAAAAATAAGTACATGATCTTCTTTGCTTTGAAATCACAGATAGTTAATCAAACGAACTTCTATTTCCGAAGATATGATCAATTGATAAAAACTCGTATTTATCTATAATGACAACATTGTTCAGTAGATGGCGTAATGATTGAAAATATATTATACTGTTAGACATTTATATTTAAAAATTATTGATATTAAAAACATTTTTCTATTCGAAAAATATCAATGTCTTCAGAAGATTCTTTATGTGAATATTATTAACATAATAGAACTTAAAACTGTTTAATTGGATGATGAATAAGCCAATTAATATTAAATATAAAGTTTAACAGCTTAAAAACTTTTTTGATACCACCAAATATTATATATTTTATTTTGAGATATTATAACGAGCTGAGTTACACTTATGTGATAATACTAATACTTACGGAATAACTAGCTCTCATTTTGTAGTTATTATGAATAATATACATTTTTTAGACTACTTTTGGTCATTATCAAGGGAAGCAAATATGGTATTCATGCACATCTAGACAACTTCATACTAAAGCAGATGCATAAATAATGTATAGATTGTCTAATGAATTGATTAAAATAAATAATTATAGTTGGGTGAACGTACAGGTGGAAATTTATCAATTGACGACAATGATTTAAACATTCGTAGGTAATACTCAGATTTACAAAGCGTTAGTGATTGGCTCGAAAAATAATATTTTGTTGTTGGTTGGAGAAAATCTTTAAAAAATAACGAAATACATTCAAATATTCACCGATTGTCCATTTAGTTTGGAGCCCCATCTAATATCGGATTGGACTGCTTTTCTGTCGTGATGATAAACTAGACTCAACAAGATACCGATGGATGTTATGTCTGAATCTGTAGCCTATTCGTTAAGACATAGGATTATGATATCGAATGCTACGTTTAATTTCACTTTAAGCTGCCCAGTGAAGGGAAAGTCACAGTTTTCGAGCCCGTTTTAGACAAGGGGAGCGTGGTTGTATGCATGGTTATTGTAATTATTATTTTTAAAAAAAAAATACTTGTTTACCAGGATGTAAATGAAGCATTGTGGGGTGGACATCTTTTGGTTACATTCTGAAAGTTATTCGCCCTTCAGACAAAATAAAAATAGCCAACCTCTTCTACAAAAATATTCTGTTATATTGTAGTATGTAAACATACTGGATATTTATCACCCCTTTATTTAACTGTTAATTTCATCTAAACAATTTTCAAAATGTTCATGCATACAAGTGTATGTAAGTTTGTTTGTTTCTAATTAAGCACAAAGCTAAACAATGGGCGATCTGTACTCTACTCACCACGGGTACCAAAACCCGGTTTCTAGAGTTGTTAGTCCGTAGAAATACCGCTGTGTCACTGGGGGGCATAATGTTAAAGTAAAACTTTGGTCAATGAAGTTCCTCTCGCTCTAGCTACCTATTGTTCTGAATCATTCCCATATGATATCATATGTGCTTTCCTATGGGAAAAAGTTCTGCAAAGTAGAACACGCTATATCTGCTACTGATGCGTCAGACGTCAGGTGATACCTTGAAGTTACATCCTTTCTTATGTTTTGACTGGAAAGGCCACCATTGATGTAAATAGGGCACATACGCTAAGATGAAGACCATTGTAGAATTATTCACATAATGCTATGTTTTCTCAGTCTAAAACAGGTCCTCACAGAGATCTGCAGATTTCTGAAAGACTTTGACCTCTAGTGTTGTCCTTTGTCAATGCAGTGGTTATATTTATTTTGTCACATGTGAACCTCTTATAAATGTTGTCAAGGTAATCCATTGATAACTCAACCTCTAAGGGCAGGTTTTAGATGGAAGTAAATAAGTATTGAATAAATACTTTTTCATTCTGTTTTACATTGCGTTCAGACTCATTCTTTTTCAAAACTAAGTCAAGTCAACAAAATTCGGTTTCAACTTTGCAAAACATTTCCTATCAAACTTTCTCTTATCTTGTGGATCCTACAAATTACTCAAAGGGAAATAAGTGAACCTGGGAATACCAAAGAGTAGTTACGAAGAAGAAATTTTTGTCACGGCCACAGGATTTGTCTTTGTATAATTTTCTCTTGACAAATGTAATTACCTGTGTTATTCTTGACTTTTGTATCATTAAGTTTTAAAAAGCTTCGAGTAGCAGAACTGTTGATTGAATTCACTCCAAAGGATCGATTTTAGCATACAGGAGGAACAGATGACCGAGATTCATCAGTGTAACCTTTGTTCTGGTGAGTACGAGACTAAATGAGGCAGTCTACAGGATTCACATGTTTTCATCAACTAAAGTAACCCAACCATTACTCTGGATAATGTCACCTAAGACCAGTTGAGAGAAAATGGAAGTGCTGTTGTTTGATGATGTCCACCAGTCTTAGCTGTTTTACCAGTAGACAAAACAGTGGGCACCAACTAATGAAAATGGCGATCATGGACCAGCTGTGCATCTCTCTGTAACAAGAGGTGTGCTGCCAAGGTAACAAAGAGGCTGGTTGTGCTCTTGGCATTTCAGATATTTGAGCCTTGTATTGGCTAATAGTCAATGGAAGAAAGGTTAATACTGTAATAACATGTCCCAATGGGTGATGTAAAACAGATCTCTCTCTAACATTTAAGGGTGTGTCTAAAGACTAACTGGACCATTTTCTGAAGCATTTCAAGCAGGTCACTGTTGGAATGGCTGGACTCAGGAGCGATAAGCAACTCTAGGAGTGAGATACAGCCTTGGGCAAGTTTCACCAGCATTTATAGGCTCGAAAGAGGGATTCCACTAAGAGATTCACCACTTACATAAAATATCCTATGCAGATTGTGAGGATACTTTTATAGCCAAGTTGAGACTGATGAGTCAGAAGCTAGTGTATGCGCTGTTTTGTATCATCTTGACTTAGCTGATGAGGTCTTAAGCTGAAAGTACTTATCTGGCTGCATGAGATGAGTCAGATGGAGAAGCGCTTAGTGAGGAGAGGCGCGAGATAGCTCAGATGGTTCATGGAGTCTCTGACCCATTGGTTGATATGGCTGGAGTTAACAGCCTATACCAGAAGCTAAGACAGTTACTTGTTTGCAAGATCAATGACCGAAAGGAATATATTTCCTTGTTTTTTCAAGCTATAATGTGGAATTTCATGCTGAAACATGATCTACACTGTGTGATAAAACAGCAAAGTAAGGAAAATTCGTTGACTGCAAGGTTAACAGGGCCAGAAAGGGTATTGTGACCCTTACTTTCCAACTCAATGAGCAGAGTTTCATCGATGATAGCTGCTCAAATGCTTCACAGTTAGGATGGATAATACTAATAGATGCAATACCTAGAGCATCAACAGTTCGTAAGGCTGGGGATGAGTGCTTACGAGTTCGAAAATTCAGTTAAAAGGGTATTGCAACCCTTATTTGCTGAAATTGTTCATCCAACATTTCACGACAGTAAACCACACTATCCAGCTGTGTAGTAGAGAAATTTCTTTAAAATATAACACCGTACGAAGATATGGTTGAAAAACACCCTGCAGTTTTAAATATGAAATATAACACTGTACGAAGATATGGTTGAAATACACCCTGTAGTTTAAACATGAAATATAACACTGTACGAAGATATGGTTGAAATACACCCTGTAGTTTAAACATGAAATATAACACTGTACGAAGGTATGGTTGAAAAACACCCTGCAGTTTACTTGATTTGTATCATAATTGTGAGGGGTAATATAAAAACGCAACTTGTCTGAGGCGCATGTCTTATAAAATAAATAAGATTCTGTACTAACACAGATTTACCACAAACACCAGTAGCCGAACTACCACCTTCACTGATCAATTGTCTCATTACAATTGGAATCGCAGAAAAATGAATACTTAAATTCGTGACTACCTGCTTCATATTCTGTGCCGAGGAAAAACAAAACTGTCACTGCATATAAGGGAATAATAAATACACACACATATGTAGTGAGTATTGTGCAGTCTGATTCTATGGTTGAAAAACACCCTGCAGTTTAAATATGAAATATAACACTGTACGAAGATATGGTTGAAAAACACCCTGCAGTTTAAATATTCTTCGTACAGTGTTATATTTCATGTTTAAACTGCATCTTAGGTGAACTTTTTATCATTTGTTGGAGACAAAAATAGATCTGAAATTGACATATTAGGAAGAATGTGAAAACAACAACAACAACTGTAGTTTACTTTTTTTTTAGATCAAACTTGTTAGACCAACTGGTTTCCAATGCTTCACCAGCTTTTGTCATTTAAACCACACATTTTTAAATAGTTTATTTTTTATTTAAAATATCTAACTTTTTTTTTTTTGTCAGCATTATATTCAAGTGTTTCTTTCATATTTCGTTTTTGTACGATTCTAACTATTTGTACAAGTTGTAATGAACATATTTACGTTTTCTTGTTCAGGCATAACTATAGATATTTAGCTACGAGTACGAGACAGCTCATACGTTGCCGTTGTTTTACACAGTGATTAATTAGTCTGGTAGCTTTGTTTATATCAGTTATCACGACTTTAAATATATTTATTCCCCCTAAACTTTTACCTTATTGTCACAGTGCCATCTATCGAAAGTATGTTAAACTTAACGATATCGTATTTTTTATTCAATTTTCTATATTATCGATTACAAATTTGAATTGCACGTGTTTCAAGGTATTCAACATTTTTTTTATGAGATTAGAATTCTTTATTTTATTAATAACCTGCTCTAATTTCACTTGTACACGAGTTTATCAAGATTATGTCTCTATGAACTATATTATCTTACACGTAACAATGAAACAGTCGAGGTTCAATATACAAAATAAGCATATCGCTATGTTATAAAACAAATGTACACTCAACAAGCTACTTCAACTGAATATTTATTTTGTTGATATCTTGATTTTACATTTGGATGTTACAGATGAATCTTTTAACACAAAAGGAGCATTTTAAGATGAACGAATAGTAATTATTGGATGAGGACCTTCAGGTTACATGGCTGGTGCTCTGCCACCAGGTTTTATTATTAAGCAAACTTGGATGCACAAACTCTAAGCTGTTTAGCCATTTAATTTTATTTTCTTTACTCAAACAGTTTAATTACAATCAGTAGATTTTAATAGGTATCACAGTACCTACCCATAAATGAAAAGTTACACACCACCAGGGAGTGCGATTGATTATTATGATCTGAGCTACCATGGAGACCTGCTGGCCTCAGTCGTAACGTGATGAATGCACACTATACATATTATATCGGCACTGATCCATACATACTAATAACTGAGAAAGTTTTTACATAATTAATGTAGATATAACACCGACTGAACCTAACAAGTTCTACAATGAGACGATAAGTTGCGATTACTCTTTACACAACATTTTCCATATATATATATATATATATATACTTACATACAATCATATAAATGTGTGTATACATACATCCGTATGCACTGATTGTGAAGCACGAGTAACTGGTTTTGTTGAAATGAATGTTTAAATCTAGACTAGCTAGTAAGTAACGTTGATTGATAAAATAAAATAAACGATCCCTTTACAAGAAAAGTAATATGTTTAGTAAACAATTGAAGCTAATATCAAGAAAAACAAAAAATCATGAAGTCCTTAAGTGTCCTGCGGTCCATCCAACATCCCTATCTCTAGCATAACATCCAGCTGATTGGTCAAGTTGGCAAGCATGGATTCAATGTTATCAATTACGTCACCAGGTGGATGATCTGGATTATTACTGAAGAAGAATTATATCAAGATTAAATCTTTTTATGCATATTACTTAAGAATAAAAATTACAGGGTTGTATCTATGTATGTGTATATATATCAGTATTACAAATCACCACATATTTATACCATTAATAAACTAGGGTTAGTTCAGTGAACTTTGCCACAACAATTTAAACTATAAACTAGGGTTAGTTCAGTGAACTTTGCCACAACAATTTAAACTATAAACTAGGGTTAGTTCAGTGAACTTTGCCACAACAATTTAAACTATAAACTAGGGTTAGTTCAGTGAACTTTGCCACAACAATTTAAACTATAAACTAGGGTTAGTTCAGTGAACTTTGCCACAACAATTTAAACTTTGGAAGTTTAATTTTATAATGCACCGAAACTCCTGACAAGTCCGTCATTGATAAACGAGATAGAAAACTTTATTGATTAACTTAAGGTCAACACTATTCATGTATCCTAAAAAAATATATGCTCGATCTTATTTCACTTTGAAAATCATTTATAATTATCTTGAGAAACTCGTACATTTTAAAAACTTATTACTGAAAACAACTTTCTATACCTGTTGCTTCGTATTCCAGCCATTTCACTGGTGTGCGTCTCTAAACTGTTACTACTGGTTAAACTTGAAGATTCTAGAATAGATGTGTGTAAGATACATCCAGTCTTCTGGGCGTGGTCTCACGGATATATAGCCAACTCGCGGAAGTGGTCAATGTATAGAAATTGTGTAGACATCTTCCTAAGAATGATTAATAGACAAGTTAGAGGTATAATTTATGTAAGATTGGTAAAAAACAAAAGTATATGAATTGTTATTAGATGATTGTATTAAATAGTTATGTATTAAATATTTTTAGTTTTATGTATTAGATGATTGTATAAAACTTATATTAAATAGTTATGTATTAAATACTTTGAGTTTTATGTATTAGATGATTGTATAAAACTTATATTAAATAGTTATGTATTAAATATTTTTAGTTTTATGTAGGCACGTTAGGAGGAGGGTATTTGTAGAACTTGGGTACATTAAGGTATGCAGATGGTGTAGAATCGTCTTTTTTTGTGGGAGTAGTCAGTAAACAGCTCTCTAATGGGAGTAGCCAGTAAACAGCTCCCTAATGGGAGTAGTCAGTAAACAGCTCCCTAATGGGAGTAGTCAGTAAACAGCTCTCTAATGGGAGTAGTCAGTAAACAGCTCTCTAATGGGAGTAGTCAGTAAACAGCTCTCTAATGGGAGTAGTCAGTAATAAGTTTATGATATAATCATCTACTAAGAATGGTCTCTAGATAGGTGTAAGTAACGCCATCTTTTGGGAATGGTTAAGATGTAATTATAGCCATCATATTTTGTTGAGTGGTCAGTGGGATAGAGTGCGATACAGACATCTTCTGAGAATGATCAATTAGAGAGCTGTTTACTGACTACTCCCATTAGAGAGCTGTTTACTGACTACTCCCATTAGAGAGCTGTTTACTGACTACTCCCATTAGGGAGCTGTATCATAAACTCATTTAATAGCTACTTCCAGTAAATATTTGCAGTGTAAACACATCCCAATGTCATGGTACAAAATACTGACCAAGATCCCTCTGTAGAGTTCAAGTTGTACCATAACATCCACAAATATGACCTTAACTGAAATAACTTGATTCCCAATAACAATAAACACCGAATCCAGGAGTTACCCCACAGAAGTTCATTTCTTTGATACATTTCGTCATAGTGATTTACTTACATATTATTATGTCATACAACTATTATGCTAACTTACCAGTTGTTATTGGGATACACCTCTGATGGCAAGGAAATACAAGGTTTTCTGAAGACGTTGCTACAGTCTGTTGGATTCTTGGTGTCCGCTGCTTAATTGTTCCGGCATTATCGTTTGCAAACGGTAAGAAGTTTGATTCTGTGCTAGATGCCGAGCCACTGGAACCTCCAGAGTCTTTACGTGTCTTTTGACTAATAACCTTATTATCAAGTGCATCTTCTGTGCTAGAATTAAACGTGGTGTTCAAATTTTGATCAAGTAGTGCCCAAGTGACTTCTCCATCACCAACCGATTGGATCCGTTTCACTTCCGAGTGTGTGGACAATATTTCAGTGGAAACAATAGGCGACTGCTGTTGTTTGTTGGGCACAGATGAATGCATTTTCTCTCTGTTCAACACCCGATTATAATGTGACCGTGAACTTTCCGTGCATGTCGTAAAGCTCTTGTCTTGTAACAAACTAAGACTTTCTTCACTTTTAGAATCCACTTTCAACAACTGTGGTTTTCTAGGAAGTGGGGGAGGAATTCTCTTTCCTTTAAGCGTACCATATATCTGCGAGGTTCTGACCGACCTCCATGGTGAAAGTCTATTAGTATTTGTTTGCTGGTCAGTTTCTCTCTTCTCATTCTTCATCCTTCCTTCATTTCCTGAAGCTCCAAGTTTTTCTCTATTACCCACAGAGTGGTGTCTCGTCTTCGCTGGTATTTTGGCCACTGGTCTAGTCTTCACCACATTTCTCGGTCTGTGCAAGCTCATCGTACCATCAGCTGGACTAAGGAGGTCAGTTCTCCAAGGCTTTGAACTACCGTCTGAACCATTTTCGGTGGGGAAACAAACATCATGATGGAAGTGGGTTGAAAGAAGGTCTAGACTCTCCATTGAAAGCCCTCTATTACCTATTGAATGCTGCATTTCAAAAAGAAAAAAGGCTACTTATTCAGCTTATGAACAGTTTTATAAAAAATTGGTTAGGCTTAATCAAAATGTTTTAGTGTATCTACTATTGATACCCCCTTCCTCTTTATCTAGCTTTGTTGACAAATATTTCTAAGCTTGCTTTTTAGTTTTCCAGAAGAACTAAGCATAGAACTTGAAACACCAATAACAAAGGCAGACGGAGAGATAGAATAAAAAAGAAACTGTCAAATTGGTGAACAAAAACTGCTAAACATTTTTTTTTCATAGACGACTAAATTCCTATAACTATAGCACTTAAATAATCAGAAGTAGGTTAACCCTATTTCAGATGTTTCATAACTGACTACCAACCAATACATTTGATCAGCTAGGAAAATGGTCCATTTAATTTTCATAAAAATCATGAAATTACGACAGACCTCAAATATTTAGTTATAAAATTCAGGAACTCGTTCTCTCCCTTTAAACTTGAAATAAATTACATAAGTACTTACACAACCATCCGATACTCTACAAAATTTTAATTACTCACATTGACCTTCCAAGTATAATTTCTAAGATAAAGATCAAATAATAAACTTTTGTAGTGTGCATGAATACTTAACACCACCTGACTTCAAACAGAAAACCACCGAGAATAATTTAATTTACCAAATGCTGCAATCTAGTGAGGAAAAAAATAGACTAAGTACTAATACTGTCTATTAATTCTTTAACAATCTGATCTGGTTTCACTTGATCAGAAACTTCCTCTTAAATACTAGCAACTACTGCACAGATTAAAATAATAATAATAAAAAAAAAACAGTAAAAATGCAATAAGTCAAGAAACTAATTTTAATTGGGGGGGAGGGGTATCTTTATAATGCCTGTTCTTTAGTTAAAGCTAGTTGGTAGTTCATTGAAACTTAAGAGATATTACGAAAATGTTTTAAAAGTTACATACATATACATTAAATTTAAGGACAACAAAGGACCTACTGGTCCATCTCATCCACTATACTACATTCTAAAATACAAGTAAAACACTCAAAGCCAGCCCCTTACCATTGAAATGTTTATCAAAACTTCTTTTAAACTAATTGTATCTACCACATCTGAAAGCAATTAATTCCAACCGCCTTAGCTGGAGATGACTCCTACTCTGCCAAAATTCATACTAGTGTCCCCCTAGTCCTAACATTTTCACCTTTAAAACCTGTATCAGCATCAACTGCTACATTCTGTTATCACTTACAGTTTAAATAAAGCTAACACTGAAGAAGAACTCAACAGGAGGATTGTTTGTTGTAGAACTCTTCTCAACTGAAAGCCTCCGATGACCAGACAGATAAAAGGATAGCTCAGTCCGACAACTCTTTAAAAACGTGACTTTTTAAAACTCCTTTGAAAGAAACATTACTGTTAACATCATCCCGACATCCCTACAAATAATCTTCTGTTTTTAAAATGTTTAACTATTGCATTTGAAGACTACTTACAATACAAGAATCACTCAGGGAAACAAACTGAGACAAACATTATATGATTATCTAAATTTTAGCTATAAAGTTAACATACGATAAACTACATTGCAGTTATATTGACAAAATTAATACTAGCAAGAAACCAGTGGCTATTTATTATAAATAATAAATGTCCTATTCTCATTTTCTTACGAGCTTAGCAAAATGTATTGCCAAAAAAAACTATTATTACTTTGAACATTTTTCTGTTGAATGAAATTGGTCTGTTTCAAGCATGTTGATTCTCCTGAAGATCAGTCTAAATGAATAGTTTAGAATTTCAATAATTTTTGTTATTTATCTTTCTTCAGAATACCGCCCCTAGTGGCAAATCTGATGACTTATAATGCTAAAAACTAGGACCTGATATTCATGGTGGGCATATAGCACATACAGTTCATTGTGTAGATTTGTGCTTTACAACAAAATAAAAATCTTTTACAGAAATGGTTTTGAAAATACACCTTTATTTGGGGATTTTTAATCAAAGTTCTACAGTTTATTCCTAGTCATTTTTTTTTTAAAATTAAACTATCTCAGCATTGTGGTTTAGTACAGTACGTAATATGTTAGAGCTTACCTCACTTGTTTGAACATCTGAACGGTGAAAGGCATCACTATACATCGAGAACAAAGACGATTCACCGCTGAAGAAAATGTCTTGCTGTTCAAAAGTTGTTTGATCGAACATTCTAAACTCTGGGCTGATTGTCGAAGTTGGAGACTGTTGAAATGTTTTGAATTCCCGAAAAACTGGAGCCTCCTTGGTAGGAGATGGTTGATTCTGAATTGAAGTTATCGTAACATGCTGACTTGGGTACTGCTGATCTGACAAAGAGTGACAGCCTAGAAGTATAAAATTAATTTCTAAGAGACAACACAGTACAGCAAAGACTACTTAAAATATATTGATATTTAATCTTCCTTGGACAAGAGCTTAAGTTCACATGAGAGGTTTGGATTATTAGAAACCGTATAAAACCACGTTCGATGTTACAAAATATCTGTATCTATTAATTTCAAGTTATTAAACTATTTATATGTCAAGTCTAATAGTTTACTTTCACTTTAACCAAGAATCAATTTTAGCTCCACGGTGTTTCAGAAAGCTCAATTTTCTCGTGTCTCTCGAAACTCCTTAAGTAACTTTGCCCAGTCCCCGATTTATTTAATTGCATGTTCGAAGTGTAACTACTTAACGAGGGGAACTTCATAAAGGTCATTAAAGAAGTGTACATTACACTAATATATTAAATATATCATGAATTAATTACCAAATGTACTAATGGTTCATAACATCTGGCATAAAGAGAATCGATACACTCATAGCCATACACACGTGAGTCAAGTCAGTCAGTGAAGTCTCGCTCTTGAAACGCTCCCCCATGCATAATTCATCGAGAAGGGGGCCAAAACTTATATTTATTTTAACAAAACAATAGCATTCTTCTCAATTTCCCCCTTGATTCTGTAAGTTCTAATAAGAATAAATAGATTTATTCAGTTTTACTGCTTTAATGCTCTTCAAAACAGATTTCCTGAGCAAAGTTTGAATCATAATCCTGTGGTTGTTATATTGCACAACAAAGCTGTAGCTCAAATGCTGAATGTTACACAAGAAACAGGTTGTTAAGAGTTTTGAAAGCAGTAACACATTTTTTTTTTAATTTCTACAAGTCATAATTACAACTTTTTCAGACAGCAACACACCACAAAAATTACAACTAATGCACAAAAGATATAAATTTAAGGAAATTGTAATGACAGAATTGTTAATAACTTAACAGAAGCAACACTATCATCCATAAAAAGACTGCCAAAACATATAATATACATACATCTTAATAGGGTGCTACTATAGCGTGCGGTCTACCGCAGTATCCGTAGTCTACCCAGACCCCACTTGACCTAGCTATTTAACTAAGTGTAAAAGTCTCGGTAGACCGCACGCTATAGTAGCACCCTTAGTAGTCTATTACGATTATATTTTAATAGTTATACAATTTAAGTTTGTTTTTTAGCTTCAACTGACCTACGAATGAAAGCTGTGAAGAAGTGGTAACAGGCATCGCATGATTACCGTGATGCCGTAAACCATTATTGAAATCTCTAACTTTTCTAATAGCCAGCATGATTTTCTTTTGATGACCTGTAAAAAAAAGGAAAAGGAAATTTCAAGACAAATAATGACTTCTAATTTACAATGAAACAGATATTGAATCTTTTACAGAGGATACTAGCCATAAGTTTCTGTTGAAGTAGGTTTAATTTATATCAAGAATTTGCAATCAGCTATACAAGGGCAATCTGTATACTAGCCATCCCTAATTTTGAAGTGACAGATTAGAAGGAAGGAAGTTAGTAAAAAGCACCCAAAGCCAACTTTTGGACAACTCTAGTGAATAGTAGTATTTGTTTGTTACTCTTATAATGTACCCACGGTTTCAAAGTATGGACAGAGCAGGATATATCTTATTTGTGGCAATGGGATATGAACCATGGATTTTGTTTAAAGGATAAAACCAAAAAAAGGTTTTGGTCACTTATAGTGTATATATATATATATATATAAAAAGATTAAATATACCAAACTTAAAGAACCTGTTACAAACTTATATTTAACCCTCTCCAGATGGGTCAAAGGCCATGTCATAGAGTTTGTTGACACGCATTCAAAATGTTATTGAACTACCATTTCATGAATATATGTCAATAAGTTTGGTATCAAACTGTTGATTATAATTCGAGTTTTACTATTATAACTTATTTAATTTTAAAAAACGCAGTTAAACATCGATTTTTTGTGTGTCACATGACATGTTGAATGCAGCACTGGTTCAAATTAGATCCCTGTGATGTCAAAATAACATTCAGTGTTAGTTAATACAATATTATCAATAACAACGATAGTTGGAGAGGATTACGTAGACTATATTACATAAAGAAATTGGATTAAATGTATGCGTAGTCGATATTTTGAAATTAATTGTCCGTTTTAATTCCCGGTAGAACTACAAGTTCTCCAAGTTTGAATATCTTATTTAGTTTTTATTTCTCCATAAGTCTATCAGCTACGTGGCAATCTGTAACAACCATTGCTTTATACGAGTTAAAGCCTACTTTATACTTACTGATCCAGCATCTTGTTTTACACTTGCCGAATGATTACCACTTCCCTGTTATCGTCCTTACCTAGCTTTTTAATTCCAATCTCTTCCAGATCCTCCCAGATAAGCTCAGCGACTTGACTCACGGTGTTGTAACCTTGTTGACTTAGTGGTTCGTAATACTCCTCTAGTCTCAGAAGCTGAAGCCATTCCAACAAATTATCCTGCAAAAGGAGTTAATAGATCAACAGTTTGATACCAATAACCAGGACGGGTTTCTGTACCGAGGTTTTCTTCACCTAGTAAGTTTGAAAATTGTAATGAACTGAAACTGCCTGTTGAAAGTAAAATCAACGACGAGAAGCCGAAATGTCTCCTCTTCTTTCACAAGCCAGTTGCGGTCTACTAAAGTTCTCAAACCTACTACGTCTACTCAGCCTAAAATTCCACTGAAACAACAATAACATGATGCTATATTTTATAACTGTTCTAATACTTTATAACATATGTTATTTGAAATGTTGTTATTCCGGAAAAAAGGGGGTGAGCCCTTACAAAGAAATAGAAAATATTAAGTTTTTCCAAGTTCACTTTGTTTGAATATTAGTCCAGTAATTAAAAGTTATTTTCTGTGACAGTATCAGTGGCCATGTTGAATTAGATGAAAATATAACAACCAACCATCTTAGAATTAGTACAAGTGGCGACCAATGCTGCCAATCTCACTTTAACTTCACTAAGAAGCTGTTGTAATAGTCCAATCTCGACTTTAGTAAGTAGGCCAGCGAGTTAATTTTAGACTTTTTAAAAGAGATGGTCGGAAACCATTTGTACAGAAAACGTATGCTTGACTTACTGGTTTGTGACAAGGAATCAAATAACTTCACTAAGAAGCTGTTGTAATAGTCCAATTTCGACTTTAGTAAGTAGGCCAGCAAGTTAATTTTAGACTTTTTAAAAGAGATGGTCGGAAACCATTTGTACAGAAAACGTATGCTTGACTTACTGGTTTGTGACAAGGAATCAAATCAAATATGTTCAATCTGTCGATTTCTGCCTTGAGCTTCAAGCGGTGGTTAGGCTGTTTGACTCCTACAGCAGTCAGATCCTGAAGTGAAAAATGGGGTACGTTACATAAAGGATTTCTTGGGTGAGCTTAAATTATAAGCTGAAGTTTAGAGCATTACATTCATATTACTTCACGTTTAATAATACAGCAATACTAGTCACTTGCTTTCAGTATTAAAATGATAATCTGATCCCTGAGCAACAGGAACTTACAGGTTATAATTCATCACGGATTTTACCTTCCTTTGTAAGTAACTGATATTTTGTTGTCATTAGTTTCTGTATTACTCAAATCATGTTACACCTAAATCAAAATATTTGTAACACTATTCTATTAATGGTTGAAAAATAAACTTTGCTTAAATAATTAGCCCACAGATGGCGACACAGTTTAGTACTTACTTCAGGCGTCATACGTGACACTGTCGCCATATCATAACCTGCTTGCACAAACAGTTCAAAGTATTGGCTTAAGTGTAAGCTTGACAGCCAAGTTTTCATGATCTCTTTGTCCTATAGGAGAAAAAAAAACAACGTTACTGTTCACAAGACAACAATGCTTATATAATCTATAAACAAAAGACGACTACATTACTGCATTAACTTTTCTCTATTTTTTAATTTGTGTTTAAGAAATGAGCAATTTTGGAGTTTCGTCGATTCAGTTTTGTACAAACAAACTTGCTTGTTACTTCGAAAATCACGTGGTAGTGAATGTGTAGTATCTAAAATATTACACAAGGTTGAACAACTTATGAACCCAAGTTTGAAAGTGGCCTTGGAATAATATACAACGTAACCTTAGGACAACAGTAAACATCAAGGTGTTACAAGTTAAAATAAAACAGAATTAAAAGGTATTACCAAGTTAAATTTGCAATATGCATTAGTTTATCAGTTTATTGCCCTTCATTTGTTAATGGTGTTTCTGACCATAATACTAATAAAGCGTGGTAACTTGGTCATTTTGATTTGTGATACATAGGGGTGTCTATAACTTTAAACAAACCCTCATAATAAAATATCTATCTAAAACAATGAAGAATAATTACGTGTCAGTTTTAAGATATCTCAAAAATAAATTAATAATACAACACTATAACTCATAGTCAGATGTGTAAGGCCTTCAATAAGAAAGGAATAATTGTTGAAGACAGAAGAATAATTATAATTCATTCATCCCTTGTCTTAGATCCGACACTGTATTCAGTTTTATATATAAAAAAAACTTATTGACCTCATTTAATTTTGAAGTAAAGTAACATAAATGTAGATGAATTATTTAGAGGGTATAATGAAAATACTTATTTTTACGAAAAAAACAACAAAAAACACTTGCTATTGGAGCTGCCATTTTATGAATGATTTAATCGCCATCTAGCGAGTATTTAATATAAAACGTATTTATCCTCAATTTGAAGCAATGCGATATTATTAAGCCTAATATTTGTTTTTGGAAGTCTTCGATCTAGCCGATCTACATTCGACAAACGTGGAATTAGAAATAAAATATAAGTAATAAGCAACTGTTTAACTCCTGCAGATATTTCTGTCAGACGGTGAACTCGATGTTTAAAAACAAATACACCCAGTTAGTTGTTTTACACCACAACTAAGAAACGGATAAGGTCACCGATTATAACAATGAATTTATCTTTAAAGTGAAAATACCGTAGAAATTGGATTAGGATCAAGGTTGTAAAATATTCGAGATAACTTCGTGTTTATTATTATCACAACCTTACACTAACCATTTGTTTAAAAAGTTCAGGGCTCTTCGGTATGATGAGCCGTTAATTTTTTTATTTTAATTATTCTAATACAGTTTCATGCGCCGAATTTAAAAATATACGTATTTCTTTAGACAAATGATAAGAAAGTGGTGAAATTAACACTTGAATTCGGAAATATCATACACAATTTTCTTAAACAGATCTTCATTTCAGTTTCTGTGACGCCAAATAAATTCGCGCAGATAAAAGTCTACATTGTTGTAGACCAAACCACCGTGAAGTTCATCTTTGAAAAATTTGATACATCGTGTACTTTGGACCAACAATATATAAACTTTTTTTTTTTTTTCAGAGGGAGTGTTGTTCCTTTTAACCAGGTTTCCTTCCTAATTGAATGTGATTTGTTACAGGAGCTTTTTAGGCATCCCCATATAGTTCGGTCAGACAGAAATTAGATGTTCATTTGGAGGTTTGTGCGACACATCTTTTTTCTGGGATAAGTTTGAAGAATTGTAAAAAAAATGTACCGATTGTTCTTCGAACTGTAAGTTCATCCATAACCACTGTAAATTAATTTCCATTTTTATCTGTAAAACCTGTGTAATCGCCCCCCTTTTCACTACTTTTTTTATCATTTCTCTAAAGAAATACATATATTTTTTAATTCAGCGCAGGAAACTGTATAAGAATAACGTTTATTAAAATAAAAAATTAACAGTTCATCAAACCGATAAGCGGCAAACTCAAAAATTTTATTATCTATTAGTTTACTATTGTATTGGCCCGGTATGGCCAGGTGGTTAGGGTCGCGGGTTCGAATCCCCGTCACACCAAACATGCTTGCCCTTTCAGCCGTGGGGGTCAATCTCATTATTGTTTGGTAAAATAGTAGCCCAAGAGTTGGCGGTGGGTGGTGATGACTAGCTGCCTTCCCTCTAGTCTTACACTGCTAAATTAGGGACGGCTAGCGCAGGTAGACCTCGTGTAGCTTTGCGCGAAATTCATAACAAACAAACAAACTATTGGATTTAAAAGGCCAAGGTCAAAATTGTCACCAGAGGTTTTACATTTGAAAAA